TTCCTCTTAGGCAGCCACAGTAACTCCTTTGGCTTATGAGAACTTGACCTGCAGCTTAACGCCTTTTTTTGGCATGAGGTACCTCAGCTTTTGCTCTGGCTAATAGCTGTGTTAGCAGCCCTCCAAAATGCATCCTGCAGTTTTTTGGTTTCAGGATTCCTCTTTGAGAAAGACAAAAAAAAAACCAGCCCTAAGTTGCAGAGCTGCTACAGATATGAGCTCTGCAGCTCAAGCATTTGCAGTTCCTGATTGGAGAGGCTTCCTTGTTGACCAGTGGTGTACAAATGCATTTGTAGGCAAAATAGACAGTAGGCAAAATAGAATGGGAACTCTGGAATGGCAGAACCTCATCACCCACATCTGGCCTTGCGCTCCTTGGAAGAAATCGTATCAGTGACCAGTCCTTCTGTTCACTGCAAACAGTTAAAGAAAATATTGGGAAGGATATTTAGAAGTCATCTGGCCATCTCATCCATCTCTAAAGGAAAATGGACCTTGATAGTTTAAGCTGGGTGAAGGTTGTGTGGTGGATATGACATTTATAACTGCAATATCTATTTCACATTAACTTTTGCATTTTGCTAAATTAATGACCATGTGCCTCCAGCCTTCCTTTTGAAGAGTTAGGCACCAGTCCTCTCTCATGCCTGGATATCTTCCTTTCCCTGAGTACCTGTTTTTTGAGACCATCCATGTGTATTTTTTTAGCATCATTAAACCATCAGCAAGCAGATGTCAGCTTGGTAGCAGTCTCTGGATATCAATTTGTGAAGAATAGAGGGTCAATATGGAAAGGTTTTCTGCAAATGAGGATTACTGAAACTAGTGAGTACTACTTACTAATGGTATTTTTTAGAATTTAGGTGTTGTTACAAGCACAATAGACATTTCTGCAGCAACAGAAGTTGTGTCATTTTCTTTCACACTGTATTTTTCAGGATTTGCTCTTTCCTCATCACTCTTTGGAATGTACACTGGGAAGCCAGAAACTCTCAGACTTACCTGAATCATATACATTTCAGATGCTTTATAAATATATCTGTAGTTTTTTTCTTTTTTTACAAAGCATATCTTGGAAAAATTCACGTATCTGGGCAGCCTTGTGAACCACTGTATTCTCTGTGAGCTAGAGAATATTTCCTTAGTGTCATATACCTATATCTTTCTGTACCAGTTTTCCACATACAGGCATACATTCAACTGACATAGGTGTGAAGTTGAAATACCTCCAAGACAACTGACTTCTAATGGAATACTGGATTCTGTGTAAACACTTGGGAAAACAAATTCAACCTTGTTTAACTAATTTTTGTAACTGGATACATATAACACAAGACAAAGCTTTAATCTGTCAGTATGGTATTGTTGTTGCTAGCAACAGGGTAAGGTCTTATCCTTCAGACTATTTATCTAGGTGTTTCTGTGCCCAGCACAGGGTAGCTTTTCCCCTCTCACCTTGAGTCCCAAAAGCTGCTGGAAGATGCCATCACACAAAATGCCAAAAAATGGTACTGGTGGGAAGACTTGAGGGATACTTCCCAGTCACGTCCTGTTTTAACAGACATACCATGTGTTTAAGGTGAGGGTCTTTTTCTTTTATGTCTGCATACTCATAGCGATCTTAACTGCTGGTTTAGAAACTGGCTGAGTCGGGGAGTAGTAGACGCCTTGGTGTTCCCATTGGTGCTACTCATTTTTTTTTGCTCTGTGCAGTAATACAATGTCTTCAGTTGTTTCTTTACCTGAATTATCAAGATAAAGCATTTTCATGCTCCTATCAGGCTTACAGCCTCCTGGGACCCATGGGCTCAGGCTCTATAGGACACACAGCTGTAGCTGATATGAGACAGATTTGCAGAACTAGTGTAAGGCAACACTGCAAAAGTTGTAAGTGGCCCCTCTTTAACTCCACCACATTGCACTTCGATTACTCAAGACGTTTCTCTGCCTCACTGCCTGCAATAGCTTTTGGTGTGGTACAATAGGAGCAGCAGAGTCTCAAAAAGCTGTGTGGATCTAAGGGGCCAGCTGGTTCTGCACTCCCTCACTCGGCTTTATCAGTAGAAATTCCTTCCTTGCTGATCGAATGACCGAGGGAAAATTATCTCTTTTTAAAACAGTTCACATTTCTTTGGATTCAGTTTCAAATTGGCATTCTTAAGCTTATCACAGACCATTTATAAATGCACCAGTTCCTGACTGAAAGATTTAGCATGTACCAGATTAGTTATCCATCTCGGACAAACAGTCTGAAAGAGGCACATGCCATACAGTACATTCTCCATGAGCCATTTAAAGGTAGCAAGAGCACTGCATAATCTAGAGAACATTATTTAAAATTGACAGAACCTTTACCCTATCATAAAAACAGCTACCTTCTGGGGCTTTTGGACTGTCTTCCGTGTTCCTTGACCCACTTAATATCAGTGTAGAAATCCAGCTAACCTTTCTGTAACATCAAAAATATCCAGGCACTAGTTAAAACTCTTTCTGATCCACTGCGGCTCAGGCACAAAAGCTGCAATTGGTCACAACTTCCTGAACAGAATGAGAATCAAATGACAAGTGAAAATTGCTTGGTTCACTCTTTAAATCTCCTTCACCCAGGACCATGAGCTCAGTCATTGTTCAAGCTTGTCCTTGGCTTCTCTTTCTCTCTGTGCTTCAGTGATACGTTTCTGTTCTCTCTCTGACCTTTTTTATTCTTTCTACTACAGTGATGCACAGTGCTACCAATACGTGTCTTGTCTGAAACAGTGGTATTGTCTGTGTGACTTGAATGAAGGCTGCTTTCACTGTAGCTTTCCAGCATCATAGAAAGTCTTCATTACTCCCTGTGTTTTCCTTGATGAAAGCCTACTGCTGTAGCTGACAAAGTTGGCTTGCCTAGTCCCACTTGTTGGTAGTAGAGGTTACATGTAACAAGGGATAAAAATATCTTGAAGTAATTTATTAATCTTGTACCATTCCCATAATAGTCATACTTGTCTTTCTACAGCAGTTTATGGCAGAAATGTATGAATAACAAAATCAATTCTTTTTGCCAAAATTTCATTAAATCATCTCTGAAAAGAAAAATGACAGAGCTATGTGCTTGGATGTCTTCATATTGGTTTTGCGATGTTGCACATCATGGCCATCTAAAATGAAAAACCTTCAATCAAAACATACTGTGCACAGAAAAAAATTCAGAGACAAGTGTACTGTTGATAGTCACAGTGCACTGATGGCATTATTGTGTGATGCTATCAAACCTGTTTGTGGCCTTGAAACCAAAAGAGTTTTTGTTTGGTTTCCATTCCTTCAGTTCATCAAAAGTGTAAAATAGTGAAGATGAGTTGTTGTATGTTGTACTGAGCTGGAAGTGGCCCAAGGACAATCTGCTCCCTCTCTGCTGCTGGTAGTTTTGGGTGTGGACAGCTGCTTCACTTTCAGTGTTCTATATGTGTGAATCTGAGGAACAAGAAAAACTGGAAGGAATTGCCTGGCCCACCTCCTCACCTTGAAGAGCATCTGGTGTCTCTAGCAAGTTGTAACCACAGTAAGTCACAATCCTGCCATGTTTTGTTTGCAGGAGGCAAATGACTGACATTTTCCTTTGACAGGTCTTGTGTTTTAACTCCAGCTGGCATCTCAGCCTCACACAACCACTCACTCACTCCTTCTCAGTGGGATGGGAGAGAGCACTGAGCGTGTAAAAACAAGAAAACTTATGGGTTGAGGTAGTTTAATAAAAAGCTAATTATAGCTGTGGATGCAACTAAAGCAAAACAAGGAATTCCTTCACCACTTCCCATGTGCTGGCAGGTGTTCAGCCATCTCTATGAAAGCAGGACTCCATCACACATGATGGTTACTTGGGAACACAAACACCATCACTCTGAATGTTTGTCCCTTCCTTTTTCTCCCCTTCATCTCTGCATGATGCATGATGAGCATGATGCACTATGGTATGGAAAATCCTGTGGGCTAGTTGGGATCAGTTACCTCAGCTGAGTCCCCTCCCACTTTATGCACATTCAGTCTCCTTGTTGGTGGGGTGGTGTGAGAGGCAGAAAAGGCCCTGACACCATAAGCACAGCTCAGCAGTAATGAAAACATCTCTGTTTTATCAACACTGTTTTCAGTACAAATGTAAAACAGAGCCCACACCAGCTACTGTGAAGAAAATTACCTCTATCCCAGCCAAAACCAGCACAACAGGACAACTGACTTTGTCAATGGATTTGTCTGGGGTTGTCACAGCTATTTGGGTGTCTAGAGAGAGGCACAAAACAGTACCATCCTTGAGTGAAGTGTGGAAGTGTTTCCATCTGGGACTATATAAGTTGTTCTGGAGTCCTCTGTGCTGTACCAAGGCCCAGAGGCAAGCACGTGGCCTGTACTTAAATTTCTGTACCTTACAGTCATCTCCTCTTCCCTTTGAATAGCATTGCAGAATGAAGGCAAGAGAAGAGCTTTTCCATGCTTCTGTCCTCTGAACCAACTGCAGAGTTTCCTGACAGCTGTACATGAAATCTCCCTGGGCTACCTACTATGAGGTGCTCTGTGATCCTGCTCCCAGGACATCTGGACAGACATTAGCTGGTTGTGGACTCTGCTCAGGAGACCAGGGAGAAGGCAAGGAGGTTCTCACATTTACTGCTTGTTCAGTGTCAGGATACAGCACATGGAAATGTGGGAGCTCCAAAACCCCACAGCTTCCAGCTTGGGGGAGACAGACAGAGTAGCCCTGATGCTTTCTCCAGCATCACAAGGGCAGAGGGACTTGGGACTGAGAATTCTTTCTTTGCTGTCTGTAGTCCTGCAATAGAGTCAGTTGCAGCAGTGGGACTCATCTGATTCCCTGGGGGGAATTTCCCATTTTTTCTGTGTTTTCTCAGAGGAGTTAATAGATTTCTTCCCCCACTGAAGTCACTAAAGCTATTATGTACAGCACAGCTGAGCTAAGTAACAGCTGTTCTTCTATAACCCATGATTTCATTAGAAAGAGACTGAGATTTCATGTAGAGTTTTACATTTTATTTTTCTATAAGAAAATAAACAGTAAATAAAGCATGTCTTGTTTGCAGCATTGGCTACCACAAATTATCTTTTTTTGTTTTCTTTTTTTTTAAGATTTAGAAATAAGACAAAAGTAGCCAAGACAACCCTTACTCTAAGCTACAAAATCCCAACTAATAACATTAAAAAAGAAGTTGATATATTGATCCCTTGTGTTCTAGTAGTTAAACTTCAAAAATCAATTGAGAGGAAAGCTTAACTGGCCTTTCTGTAGTATCAGAAAGCAAACCTAAATCCCAGACATAGAATTTTTACAGCTATGAATATAGGGGATGATTTTCAGACAATGTCAAAACTACTGTTTAATTCCCTTTCCTTCAGGAGAAAGTTCCTATGAGGTGCACTTGGAAAGGAATCCCTGAGTATAGTAGACATAACTTCTGTGCGAGCCAAGAAGTAGCTTTGCAGAGTGGCGTGCATAAGGAGTGAGACCAGAGTGATCAGCAAGGACACCAGTTCTGCCATCACTTCTGCTTTGAATGACTTTAAATCTTTGTCCTGTTTGTTCAGGCAAATTCATCCTCAACCTATAAAGCTATTCCTGCTAAGCACCTACACCAACATTGCTCTGGCAGTAGTCTCCTGAGTATTTGTAGGAAAAAAATATTAGGTCTTAGTCCTCTAAGGTACCTAGGTGAGAAATCCACATTGCTAAACATCTTTGAAGATTTAAGTGCCGGATCTTTTTCATGAAGTAAGGCTTTGAAGCCTTACTGTGCTTTTCAGCCATGATTGTATTTCTTCCTTATTTTCTTTTAGCCATTTGATGTTGCTCTTCACTTGCTCCAGTGTCTGACTCCTGGGCATTTCTCCTGCCCCAGCATTAGGGTATTTTTCAAAGAAATTTTCCATCTGGAAAAGAGAAAAGGAATTGATGTGAAGTAAATAATGCTGCTATTAGGCAAGTGGCTTTTTACAAAGACACAGACAGGGGTAATTTTGACTGGGAGAGATCTAGAAGCTCATGCTAGTAGCATTGGAATAATTTTAGAGTTAACTCCTGCTGTTTTAAGCATTTAGAGGACAAAAAAAAAAGTTTTCTGTCCAGAAGATAGTTAAATATATTGACTTAAATTCAAGAGAATTGATGTCATCATACCTGCCAAAGCTGGAGCTCAGTGTTGAAGTTTTGGGCAATAGTTACTATTCGACCAAGATTTCTGTCATTTATAGTGAATCTAGAAAAACAATTTAATAAATGATGTTTGATGCAAAACCATAATTATCCGAAGCTTAAACTTCTAATTTTGTTACAATAAAGCAGGTACACTCAAATGATAGCATTTTTTGAAATAGTTGAAAAATAGTACTCCTACATAAATATCTGAGCTGTTCTTAAATATGTTGACTAGTGGAGTGATCTCCTTTTTTCAAGTAATTACTGATTGTCTCAGGCTGGAAGTTAGGAATATTGCTGCTCAGCAATACAAAAACTGTCCAGATCACAGCTCTAGGCTTGCAGGTGTGCTTTCCTTCTGTGCCCTCACCAAGCACTCAGAAAGGAAATGGAAACAGAGATAGGTCACTCAAATATTGAGGAGAAAAGTGAAAAGGTTTGCAATTACTTCCACTCCTCATCTGTATGTCTGCTGCTTGCTGCTAACCATTAGAATAAAATTTAAAAAAAACCCTATTTTATACTCTGTCTTCCTGGTATGAAATCAGTTGCAAGAGTGGAGACTTAATTCACTAATTTCCATGCAATAACCAGTCCGTAGCCTTGGTAAAACTTTTTCTCCTTGATGACCATTTACCTTTCATTTAGGGAAAGAATGGTTTTTAAGTTAGCAACAAAGTACTTTTTTCACAGCAAATGGATGTAATTGTGCTGAATAAGCTTTCAGTTTTCATTTTGCAAAGGCAGTGATTATAACTGTACAATGAAATCACAGAACAACATGGCATGTAACAAGATTTACAGGTGATGTCATTTCCCATGAGTTCATTAGAGTACCTGTCAACTAAGTACTGCCAGTTCAGTCGTATCCAGTCCCAGGCCATTGTTTTCCCGTAGGTGTTATATGAGATGTATTTCAGGACCGTGAATACATCTTGGCTTTTGATGAGGCTGGTGTTGTAAATATATTTCAGATATCTAAGGGAAATGCCATAGGAATCAATGAGAGCCATTTACAAACAGGAATATTATTTTTTTCCTAGAGCATTTTAAAGGTAAGTACACAGGACTAAAATGTAATTTGTGTCAAGAGATAATTGTATTGAAAGACATCTTAGGAATCTCTTTAGCAAAGTAGGTAGAGTTTATGTCTCTACTTGAAAATAGCCAAACCCCATTATTATTTCTATATTTTAATGCAGTAGAGAAAACAAGACTAGATCAGTTAGTAGTTCAGCCTGTTAAGCCAAGTCTGGATTTTAAAGATCTTACAGGGACCATGAATACATGCACAGGTGGCTTGCTCACACTGACATCTGTGCTGTTTGTTTGGAAACTTTTATCCATACAAAATTAAAATTCATTTGGGCAGAGCATGGCTGCAAGTGCTGCAGTCATACTTGCAGTTATGGCACAGATGGTTTTGACTGATGGGGTGAAGCACACATGTTTGCAGGGAGATGGGTAGCTTGGTCATGGATTCACAGCAGCAGCTGCAGAAGAACACCCTTTCAAGCTGTTGTGTGTTGGGATTAAGGATTGTCTTATTTTTCCCTATATGTAATGGACAATTTTGTTCAATCTGTTTGCTCTTCCATCCTTGTTTGTTATTTTAATAGTAAATTAAGAGACAAGCTTTCCCTGCTTTAGGAGGGATTTTTTATTTTCTGCAAATATAGTCTGATCTAGCTAATTAATTCATGTCTTAATAATGTCAACCATTAGCTATTTAATGGCTTTAGATAATGGCTGTGGCAGTTACAAGAATTTAGGAATGCAGCTGCTTCCTACCATTATTTCAATTACTCTAATTCTTACATTTACTCTTTCTGAATCTCCTATACTTCCTTGTTTCCCCTCCTTTAAACCTGGAGCTCTTTCAAGCAGAGGCTGCTCCATGTTATGATATTTAGATAGGGCTCCAATACAGTGGTGAATGGCCCTGGTGTAGATGTTTGCTTGCATGAGTGCTACATGATATACAACAACATGCAAAGTTGTCAGATAAGCCTAAAGGAGCCAGTGTCCCTATGCAGGGTGACAGCCTGGAGAGATACTCGCCAAGTCAGTCAGTCTGCTGGACCACTCTGGGGCAGGCTCATCATTGCCATGGCAGCATGAATTCAACATTTTTGGTTCCAGCTTGAGCACTTCTGCACAGCACTTAGGGAGCATTGCAAGTTCACGTGGATGCCTTCATAGGACTGTTAATAACAATTGCTCAAGGCTGTTTGCCTAACTTTAGCTAGTTAGAAAGTAGACATCCAGGCTAAGCAAACTGGAGGTAATGGAGGGTGACTGACAACACCCAAAAGCAATTCTTTCCATTGATTTTAAGCCCCTTTCCTGGTCTGGGATAAGCAGTGCTTTGTACGTCTGGCCTCTCTTCACTGATTAAAGAGGAAATGGATGGCTAATTTATTCCTGATAATTAACTATTAAGCAACTAAAATTGCACAAGGTGAACACACTGTTGGAAGAGCTGAAGGTTGTTGATTGTGTGCAGCAACTACCATGTCTTCAATATCTTCCACTAAAAGAACAAGGCTTTTTTCCTGCCATAGTACAATCGCAGAGGCGTATGTTAGATAACAGGTCTTGAAAATGTGTTCCATTCCTCATGCTGTTATCTGACCAAAATGACAGCACAGAAGAGAGGAAGAGGGGAATGAGCAAACAGCAACCAGTCGCTTCTGTAGAAAAAGAGAAATCTGTGTGTGTTTAAATCACCTGTCCAAAAGGGTGACGTTCCTCACTGATGCCAGGCCATATAGCAGCTTTTCTTTTTCTTGGGCTAATGAAGTTTCTTGGTATTTGTTGAACATGTAATTCCATGATGTCTCATTGGCTGAGTTCTGCATCCCATAGCGATATACTATGAGTCGGAGATTTGCAGCAATTCTAAAATAAAGAAACAGTACTTAAATATTCTTCCCCCTTTCCTACTTAACATCAGTGGTACCCAGTCACATGCTGTATTCTCACAAAAGACAAAAAATGTGAGCACTCACGTTTCTCCTCGTAACCACCTATCGAAGAGCTGAGAAGCACTGCTCAAAGATTCTGTGTCATTCATACTGCAGGAAAAGTCTAGAACAGATGCACGAAGAAGCCTTGGAAAGAGAGAGGAAGAGAGTGAGATAGATATTTTCCTACTGCTAACTATTGTTTGAATGCATCAATAACATGAGAAGGAACAAATAAAGATTGTCCCACCTCTGCAAATGGTCTCCAGAATCCTCCCAGCCCAGTTTATCCACAGTTGGTTTCACCAGATTGCGAAAATATTCCTGAGGTAGAAAAGGTGTTGGTTACATGTGTAGATTTCTTTAAATAATAATATGTTTCATTTCATAATTTGTTCTCCTTCATTTTTTCCCAAAGCTAGCATCTCTTGAATGAAAAGTAACATGAACAGGCATACACACAATCTTTTCAGATCTCCACAGCATGCCAAGTCTGAATGCTTGCAACACTGATGTGCAGATAGGACAAAGCCAACCTGCTTCTCTCCAACCTTGTCTGTGCTCCCAGATGAAGGCTGGGGTACAGCAAGGACACACTACTACAACTGCTTTCCAGAGATGATAGCTCAGGACATACTTATTTTAGTGACCATTAAATCATGTTCAGTATTTGAGGTCAAGTAACAAACCTACTCACTGCCACGTAGAGATACAGCCATCCTTTGTGATGAGAACAGGTGTTTGAGATTTTGCTGTCCTATACATCTTTATTGAATGCAGGACAGCCTTGACTAATAAATCCATGTAACATGCCTTATGATGACTAATTATTCTTATAATCTGTCATAATGTCTTTTCTCCAAATGCATAGTCCCAAATACAGAATCCAAGTGGTTCAGATACCACTATGAAGCAGTGTTTAGAGGTTTTTTTAAAGAGAACGGTAATAAAAAGTAAATGTTAATAGTTCAGCGACACTGAAAATCACTTGAACTTCACTATTCTTGTGAGAGATTCTGAATTATCAGATTCAGTGGTCCCAAGCCAGATTGGCTTTTATTTTGCTTCATCACCTGAAACAGGGGATAGAGATTTTTATCATCTTCGAGCATGTTTGCAAGGTAAGTTACAGCTGATACAGCTCTATTCCAAGGTAAATACTCTGTTTCATTTCTTAGGTATTTTGTGAGTTCCAGGGGAACAGAGTAATTCACAAGTCCAGGTCTGTGGAAGGAGAAAACATAACGTCTGTTATTGTAATGAATTTGAGGAACTTGCTTCTTCAAAGATATTAGATTTACTATTTACTTTAGAAGGCCTGAAATAGTAAAGTTTGTGAGGGAAAACTAGTCTGGAATGTAACTTGGAAGGTGTTTTCCAAAGATATAACCAAGGATTACTGTTGATCAATGCCCAATTGTAGGAGCTGTGCCATTGTGAGAAGACTGCTAACATTGTGCAACAGCCCAGTGTGCCTAGAAGTGGGCAACCCTTAACTGACTTACATTAATATCACAAAAAAAGAAAGGAGTTGCTGGCTGGCGACATCCTGAAAGGCTGAGGAGACTTAGAGGCTGTTATAGATTGCCTAAAATTTATCTGTGTCAGCATGGCTGAGCTCAAGATCTAGAAGTTTCCAATCAGGTTTCTAAACAAACTACTAGCTGAGGTGGTATCTACTCAATCCCTTCGTATGCATTTTAGGCATGCCTCTGCTTTTGACACCTAACCTCTTCCATTATTGTTAATTATATGGAGAAAACACCTGTGCAATTAAAGCCTGCTTTTTTCTTGCCATGGTACTGAAAGGGAGCATTTCTTGTGATTGCAATGGTAATGCAAGTTGACAATGCATACTTCAGTGCACCCCTTTTGGAGGACAAGGTAAAGCAACAAAGAATTGAATCTCATACCAAAGTCAGAAAATTTCTTTCAACCACCTGGGTTGCATGAATTCTAATTATTAGGCAACAGAAAGTGAAAAACTTGTGTTTAAATCTCTGTACAGAATTAATTTACCTTGCTAAAGAAAAAGCATCATCCAAAATCCCTGTGCGATCAGCAACTGAAAAACTCTGTGTGAAAAGAGGAAAAGAAGGATCAAGAATATACAGATTATTTGCAGAAAAACCCCAGCCTCTACAGACCTCTTATAAGAGACCCACCAGACAGGTTAGACATTACATCACTCACAGTGTGGTTTTGGAGCAGAATACTGCTTAAGATGGCCCAGTTTTGATTATCATAATTCACCCGAAAGAATCCAACGTGGTCTGGATTAACGTTCACAAAAGTATCAGAAGAAGCTGGTATTCTAATTCCTACAAAAGAAACAGTCATTAGTTTGTACACCTTACATGATGCAGATTTCACTGGAGATTCCTTGACTCCAAAAGTATTATTTGGTTTTAATAGATATCAAATTAAGGTCCAACCCTTAATTTTGTTTATTTCTTTATTTATTTCTAAATGGCTCTGAGTAAACAGGAATTATTACAAATTTGGATGAATGCCAGCACTTGTATTAAAACAATGAATTGCAGTAGTTACTTGGGGTAGCTAGTTTGTTAAATTTGAAATGGAGGTCATTGGAAGTAGGGTGAGGATGGTGACATTTAGTGTCATGGTAAGAAATAAAAAATTGCAAAGAAGCAGTTCTTGCAAATATATATTTTTAAACGTTTTCATCCTCTTCCGCACTATTAAAGTTCTCATATTTTATCCTCCATTAATTTTATATTTCAGTTTGTTTCAACTAACTTTAACTTTTCTTTCCTGTACTCTTCTTTGATTCTATTTTTGTAGCTGTTGATACAAGATTTACAAAATAGGCTGAGACTTCATGCAAGCACTCATGTTTAATGATTTTCCCATTTAAAATGAATACCTGAAGAATGGTTATTTCTCAGAAGCCTGGCCTGGTCCAGTTGGTGATGTTACTTATGAAAATTTTTCTATTTTCCATTGAAAACAATGGTTTTGAATCTGTGTTTTGAGAGTGGCTGTAGTTAAAAGCATGTTTCTGTTTGGATGTTACATACAAAATATTTCTAAAGGGATTTTAACGTACAGTTGTTGTTTTTTGTTTGCTTTTGCATGGATACTAAAAGCAACCAGGTTAAAAAAAAACAGAACAAAAGACAAATTGAATTAAAATAAGTAACAAACAAGTACAAGAAAAGATGAACCATTTGTAATATTTCTGAAATTCAATTGGATGTAATTTAAAATCTGAAAAAAGTTGGTAATTTTTCCCTGCAATTTTGTCCACTGGAGGTGTAGTGCAAGAAATTAAGATTTGACTGTATAATAGAACAATCAAAAGAACCACATAGGATTTTTCTCATTTCTGAAATCAGCATAAGAAAAGGTGATTAATCATTTGCAGTTCTTTTTCTTTAATTGAACTCAAGTTGCCAGTTTACCATGCCACACAGGCATTCATCAGCCTCTGACTTCTCTTTTCCTGGACTGGACAATGGCCATATCCAAGCCAAATCGATTTTAGTGCATTCTAATTAAGAGTATGGATAGATGTTTTCTTGAATAGGATGGTATTTAAACAGATGCTTAAGCACTATACTGAAATTGAGCCTAAATTGACATAATGTTTGTACAGGGGAAATACTAATCTTATCACTGAAATTACTAGCAACTACAGTACAACCAAGCTGTGTGCTAGCTCCCACACCTGAAAACTGGAAAGTATGAAAGTTCATTCTGTGCTCTGTTTTTTGTAAATGATATGGAAAAGTTTCATCTATTCATTATCCTTAAAAGAGAAGACACTTACCTGTAGAGTTTGATGCATTGTAGAAGGTATAATCTGATGAATCACCAAGCTTAAATTTGACTGGTATATTCCATTTGTAACTGAAATTATTTAATGGGAAAAAAAATCAAATTACATTTGAAGACAAATGGTAAAAAAAAAAAACCAAAAAACCTCCAATATACTTTTGTTTGTTTATTTTAATGTTTACATCTTGTTTTATCAAGCTGACTTGTACTTATGAACATATACATTTACTAAATAATGTCAGGACATATACATTTACTAAATAATGTCAGGCAATATTCTAGCAGGATATAAAGCAATTGATTTAATAAAAGATGATTATATGTCAATAATTGGTGTCAAGGTTAATGTTGATGTATCTAGGGCTTTGTGCAGACACTAGTTAATCTTTGCAATACTGACTTGAAATAAATGGTTAAGTATTACAAAAGGTTTTTTTGCAGATGGAAAAAATGAAAGAGTTTAAACAACATTGTGATACAGTTAATATGACCTCTTGCCTTTTCCAGCCTATTTTTCTTCTCCAAGACAACCCTAATTCCTTAATTAAAAAAGAATGGGTGGTAAATGAGACCTTACCTCTTGCTTTTCAGCTCCTTGTATACCCTTATTGGGTAGGTACAGATTCCTCACTCCAGGGCATGCCCAGGACAAAGATGAGAAATTTGGGCAGGAGTGGAGCCATAGCACAGCCTGATCATGACTGTGACCAGGCAATCAGGGATGTGGGACAGCAGAGCATGCTGTGAGCCTAACACCAGCCACCTGCATAGGGCTGCTAAAATTATTAAGCCCTTTTGAGCAGTCAGCTGCTCTTCCATAATAGTGTACTATACTAATATGTTTAATATAGTATATATACTATATAAATATAGTATATTATACTATAGTATATAAATAAAGTATATTATACTAATAAACTTTACACTTCTGGTTTTACTAATTTTTTTATGGAGCTTACTACAATGAAATTTGAAGAATTAATATTTGAAGAGAGATATTGTGTTTCCCAAGAGAAAACCCATATAGGTTTTTGGACTTTTGTTTGTTTATTTGTGGTTTCTAGTTGGTTTTTTTTTTGTTTGTTTGGGGTTTTGTTTTGATTTTGAGTTGCTTTTATAAATGCATTTAAGGAGGCACATTTTACTTAGTGTCTACCTGGTTTGTATCTACATTTGCCGTTGGAACTTACCCAAGATCAGAAGGGGGATGAGAAGCATTTGCATTGGGATCCAAAAGAAAACGTTTCTGTGTGAATATTGAATTATCTCCCATCTCCAAAACAGGGTAGCCCATCTGCCTAGTCCATGTGTCCATGACTTCCTTCACAGGTTTATTACTTGCCTATAAATGACAGAAGAAGGTTGCAGTGAAAACGGAAAACCAGTCTCTGGTATTAAGAAAAAGAAAGAGACAGAGGAAAGACCATGTTCAGGACAAAAAAAAAAAAAGTCCTCCATAAATCCTTTTATGGTGCCTGTCATTGAAGGAACAAATTATTTGGAAACTTGAACACCCACAGAAGAAATGAGAAATGTGTAGGTAGGACACTGGCCAGTAACATGGACAAGAAATACTGAGGAAGCTTTGAGGCCCCTTGCATGCTCAAAGATCTCTCCATTTTTCTCTGACAGAAAAACTGAACAGGACAGAAAGGACACAGTGGGATTTTTAAAGCTAGAAGCCTCCTTGCAGTGTGTCCTGTTTTGGGTGTGAAGGAAGAGCCAGTATTAAACACCAGCAGCTGCACCGATGTAAAATTTGATTCATTCTGCAAACCCTGAACATCTGTCCCAGGAACTGGAGTTGGAGAAAGCTGTCACTACCTTCCCAGAATGCCACCTGTGAGAGAAGTGAGCTAGGGTCACTTCTAATATTTCCCTCTCCAGATGAGGTAGATGATGTGAAGCTGCAAAGTGCTAGAGAGAGAAAGTAAGAAGTTCTGCTGAGTAGGAAGAATTCTGGGATCAAGGAGAAGAACCAGAAAAGAGACACAAAAGCACAATTTAGGCTGTGTGCATTTCCGCAGGGTTGGAAGAAAAGGAAATAATATCAGGGAGGAACCTGGCAGTATGCCAGTGTAATGGGAGAGTTAATGAGATAGAAAAAAATAGGCCAGCCTCATGGAACAGGAAAGATAGAAAATGGTGGCACAGATGATGACCCAACTGGGACTCAGAAGCTAGAGAGCACCAAAATTACTTGGGAATTGATACTGCTGAGAGCTTTCAAACACCTGAATCTGGAGAGAGGAAAGAGACAGTATGGGGTGCATGATGGTGGATGAGAGGTGTTTACACATGTGAAATGAATTTGAGTTGCAGGGGGAATGCTTCAGTAGCAAGCTGTTTGTTAGCAAGGCCTCCTTTCTCAGTTCTTATTCCACTCCCACAGCCTTATGCAAAAAAATAAAGAAAAAAAAAAAAAGAAAGGAAGAAAAAAAGAAAAAAAGAAAAAAAGAGCTATACTGGAAGACTGCCTAGCTTGTAATCTCTCATTGACAGAAGAACTATAAAACATTACAAGTTTGAGAAACTGAAATCAGTGGGTGAGATATTAAACATTTAGTAGCAAGGGTTTGGGTGGATGCAGAACATACCTCTTCAAGAGCTTCCCAAAATTGTTGTGTCTTGGCATTCTGAAAATGGTATTTCTTCAAATATGCCTAGAGAGATATGGAAAAGTGAAAATACTATGGTATAAATAGTGTTTCTTGTTTGGCTATGAAAACAATACACATATTCAGTTATACAGGGATACAGAGAGCACCTCTCAGTTGCACAGAGTATCCATACATGGGTGGTAGTACTGTGAGTGGGAGATTAAATGGATCAGTATTCAGCTGATGAAATTCCTTTGCTGTCCAATGCATCCCATAACACCAAAAGTCAGCATTTTCCAGAGTGACTTGTTAGTAAGAAATAAATGTGTGTTTGAAGAGTTCTTTGTGTTTTGTTTAAATGGACACCACTATATCCTGTGGCAAATTTTTGACTAATGCAAGAGGCTGTTTAGCAGGAGGAAGATATTTAATGAGATTTCACTACCTATGTTCTAAGAGTGGGAGTAGGAAAGTCTAGTCACCTCTAAGTTTTGATCAAAACGATTGTTACACGGAGTAATGGTGTTCAGCAAAGAGTTTGCAATGCTTAAACCTTATTCCCATCGTGTGTCTTCCCCGGCTGCTTGGCGGGTGTTTTCCAACCCTGCCACCTGCTCCCGGCGGTGGTCAGTCAGTAGATGGTGCTGTTTGTTTCACTGCTGGCCACAGCTGCTTACCTCAGTGCTCCCGAAGACTCTGAGCAGGAGGGGAGGGTTAGGCTCTTGGGGAAAAGGTGGCTATATTTTCCTGTATTAGGTAACTGTTCTGATTGAATATGTGAAAGGAGAAGTACAGGAAAACGCAACAATCTTGTAGCAGCCCATAAATAGCAGCTCTTCATGAGAGAGGGAAGTAAGAGAAAATGTGGTAAGCCTGCACTGTAACGCCTGTTACCAATGTCTGTTCAGAAAAAAGGACAGACAACTTTTCTCCTTCTGGGACGGCTCCTTTCTCCTATTTTGTCATTTTGCAGCACCACGTTTCTCCTCCACAAGAAAGGACTATGAACTGCGCAATATATCGTTTTTCCTCTCCCTATTGACATTCTAAAGCTGGGTGTCCCTGCATTAGGGCACGGATGAGCTTATGTCTCTAAGAGTGTTCCTACATAGTAGCCTTGGGTGGGTTGGAGGATCGTGGCCATAGGAAGCCACAGACACACTTTACAGCAGAATGAGGGGATCTTAGTTGACAACAGGATAACAGTGGGGTAGAGGAGGTTTTTCCACTAAAAGCTGTCAGGAATTTAGGTCCTCACTGTCTGTTTATCAAATATTTATACAGTTCACATTCCTGCTTCTGTGGGAGTATGGAACTTCTTCCCCTCCATGTTTCCCACTCAGTATTGAAATGCACTAAGTACTTCTGCTACCAATACCAGGGACTCTGATATTCACTTTTTGAATAATGGCTTTGCTATAGTCACATGAAGACAGGCTGTATGTCTGGTGGGTTTGGTGCCACTTTTACCTGACAGCCTTTCTGGAAGAGCTCTGGTGTAATCCAGTCTTGAATCATTCTGAGGATCGATGCACCCTGAGGACAAAGGGAAAAGGAAGAAGGTCAATACACACTGCCCTAACACTGATTTCCATTCATCTAAAAGGCAACATGAAAATGAGTACTTCATAAGGCAAAACTAAAAATCATCCATCAGACTAAGGATGTGCTTTTTCTGCTTCCTTTGTGGGATGGCATGCCTACCTGGTGGAACTTAAATCTGGACTGAAAATCAGTCTTTAGTTGTGATCAGACACTTGTTCCTATGTTCAGCTCCTGAGCCTTGCTGCTGCAGCTTACTGTCCTGCCACTCTACCAGTTTGTGTGAGCAGGGCTCCCTGTTTTGTGTTAAACAGGACAGGGGTGAGGGCAGCTGGGGACTACCCCTGTCAGAGGAACAGCCTGAGAGAGGCAGTGACTTCAGATGAATACACAGCAGGAACTCTAAAAATGCTGCAAGTCTGTGGCTTTAGAGGTTAGGTATGCCATCTGAAGATAAGGAATGAGATTTGCTGAGGACTAGTGTAAGAGCTCTGGCCTCTAAAGTGGGGTAGAATTGGGATCAGAGGAGTTACTAACTTGGGCGTCACAGAAAAAAAACCAAACGGTTAGGACCTTGAAAGAAGAAAGAAACAAAAGACAGGAGAGAAAGACAGGAGAGAGAAGTAGAAGAGCCATGTGGAACAGAGAACAGAGTGTACACAAAATAATGAAGGAAAAAAAAAAGGAGTGCAAACTCCATATAAGATGCAAAATACAATTTTAGGATTGGCATGTTTTCATTTTCTGAGCTAAATCAAGGGGCAGTTGAGAGCCTAATGCTATGAATGGTTTAAAAATCCAGTTGTCCCATAAAAACAAGAATATTATCTGAATTCTCAATAAATCCTGTTTCCTCTATTTATGTGTCTGAGAATAATGACTAGATGAGTCATGGCAGAGGGACTGTTTGAACTCAAAATGCCTCAAAATGCTTTTCAGGCTATTGTTGGAGAGTCAAGGTGGTCAGCAGATGACTGTTTTTGATACAGAAATCTGATGTGTTTGCCATGGAATATGATCACAACCAATTCAGTAACATTTAGAACAGATATCCATTAGTGGTAATCCTAAAGCTGCTTAATGATCAATGGTGATCTTAAGGCCATGAGTGTGTACTAGGGAACCTGAGTTCCTCAGCTTTGTCTCTCAGCCACTTCTTTTCTGGTATCACCTCTCAGAAACCATCACCTCCCATTTATATTAAAAGCCAAAGTACAAATACATACTTATACATGCATTTGGTAACAGTGGAGACTTCTTTTGCTTTAAATTGCAATGTATAGTTAGTCACTTGCACCGTCTACTATTATTTTTCAGTCTTTTCCCCCCTCTCTTGTCATTCCTCTGTAGTCCATGATAGAGTGTGTTTAAGAAAAACTCATCCTAACAAAAATCACTGATTATAGGAATGCCAGTATCTTAATAACTTTCCTTTCTTACAACTATTTGGGGAGGCTCAGAAAAGTGACCTTAATTTGACTAGCTGATGTTCTCTGATGGGGGTATAGTGGGGAGTCTTTTATCAACACCCACATAATTTCATAGTAATTGCCAAGTATGTGACAAGAATTGTTTGTGGCAGAAATGTGGAAGAGTAATCCTAAGCTTCTGCATCTGGGAAGTTCCAAAAATGTGGGGGTCCAAAAGCAAATTTCTAACTAACTTATTTAAGGCAAAAAACATCACTGTTACTTTAATAAAACCTTTCAAAACAAGAGAGAGGATTAAACTGGGAAAGAGATGAGAGGCAAATATTTTTTAAAAGCAGATTAAAACAATTATGTACATTAATTATTTACTCACCAGCTCTACTCTAGTAGAGCTTTCCTAGGCATATAATGCCCTATCAATCCCACAGCAGTTAGAGGATCTTGTACAGAATATGCTGCAACGACTCCATAAACCCTTAGGCAATTCATCAGGGTCTTAGGATTGGATTGGTCTGGTAAGTCTAACAGAGAGCATTCCAAATTATGCTTTATTTGTTTAGTGATGAATATTATCATGAGAAGATGGTTTTAAAAAGAAAAATACAAAAGAGAAGCCAAAATAAATCCAAAAAGAAACAAACTAATTTTGTCACGCATTTATATATAAATACCAACAGTAATTTGAGCTAAATCTATGCAAAGACTTTCTCTTTCAAGCCAAATTATAACCCAAGCCAAATTATATCCCAAGCAAACTGTTCCCAAACAATGCACAAGTCCTCAAGTGTTTTTGCTTAAAAAAAAAAAAGAGTTCATGTAGTAATTATCTAGGGACAAAGAGATGAGTAAAAGCTAGGATTTTTTTTCTCCACTGTTTTTACAGACCCTGCAAAAAAATGTCTCTTGCTTAGTTCACCACTAAAATACATTTTGATCCAGAGTATTTGATTTAGCTCTGTATATTTCGTGACTTTTGTTAGTTTGATTTAAAAACAGTGTTGCACAATGCAGGTTTTTACATGGTTTATGGTTTGACTGTTAGGCATTTATGATGCAATAAATACTGGTTGTATTGTTGGACAGAGGATTTAACAATTGAAAACAGAAAACTGAAATGGATGGATCAAATCTAGCTAATAAAAGTAGTATCTATAGTTACAGATTGTAGCACAGCTGAAGCTAAAGTCAATGCAATATATACTGTATGTTTCGCTGATAATGGGAGCTTGGAGGGAAAGCAACAAGCAGTATTTAATAATGCTGGATTTTGCGTGTTCAGTGGAAGCATGTTATGGCATCAGATAGAGAACACTGACAGAGTCATATAAGAAGCTGCCAATAAAAATATGGTGTATCAGGTTCACAAGCAGCATGGGAGATGGCTGGTTGAGGAGAAGAGTGACAGGTGTTTTCTCCTGTGTTTCTTTGGGCCTTTCTCTTGATGCACTGCAGAAAACAACTGGAGGGAACAGTGTTGTTTGGGCTCTTGAGTCAAGAGACTCCTTGGTTAGATATAGGGGGATACCTGCTTTGTTCCATGTCTAAGGCTTGTGTAAGGACAAAGTGACTTTGGCTACATCCTGTATGGAGGGAGACAAGCTGGCCTCAGCCCCCTAGGCTGGGTCTTCAAAGTGATGATGCTCAGCATGGCTGCTGGTGTCCCTCATGCTCTGGACCTCACAGCACTTTCCCACAAGCGCTGATCTCCAGGCTGCTGCCCCACCCTGCAAGTACTACAGAGACCATGGGCTCCCAAAGGCCCCTGTGTGCCCTGGTCACAACTGTGGTTGGATGACTCCAGCATTCCAGAATCTCCCTGATCAAGCAGACCCAAGGTATCCTTCCAGCTAGCTCCTTAGAGAGTCCATATTGCCACAGATCCTCACTGCCTCACTTTGGGATGGGATGAGCAAAAATCTTATCAAATACTTAATTGAGTGTTTACCACTTCCTTGTCTACAGACTACTCTACTCCACTGCACTCCAGAGCTCCACAACTTGCAGTGAAATGTGGAGCTAACTTATTTCCCAATTTAAGCCAATGCCAGTAGAGGCTGGTGTAACCCATCTTTGTTAAGGTTTTTTGGGTAGCTGGGATACTGTGAGCAACTTGAGATAAAAGGTCACTTTCCTGTTTTCACTGCTGGGTTCCCTGCCTTGCTTCTTCAAAACAGAAGTTATACTGGCTTGCAAGTGTGATGGGGAAGTGACACAAAGGATACCTGGACATCTGCCCTTGCTTCCTCCGCCCTTGTGTTAGATTATGCAACTTGACATAACTGGGCTGCATCAGCACAAGGTGACTGGAGAGGGATGTGATTAGTGTCTGGTTTAGTTTAATTTTAAACCCAGCACTCTAGTGGCAGAGGCTGGTGACACTGTGCTTTGCCTGCATCTCTGCATGCTGTGAGCAGGCTGCATGGCGCGCAGTGGCTGACGAGACTCTGGCTTCACTGCTCCTCTCACAGCTCAGGTGAGTTGGGAGTCCTGATTATGAGCACCCCTGACTTTTATCTCCTCTCCAAAGCTGCTCCTTCCTTTGCATCCAAAGTTACAACAGAAGGATATCTTACCTTACTGTAGGATATCCCATCAAACACAGAGGTGATTTCAGCTGGAGATGACACATTGGCTACAATTGGGTGGGAAGACAGCAAAGAGTCATCCTTCAGTACAGGAAGCACATCTTCAATTAAAACCTGGTCAAGCTGAGAAAGAGAAGACATTAGAATAGAAACAAGGGACAGGAGTATATGCCTGCTTCTCAAATAAGTAGCTTGAAATTCAACTTCTCTAGGCAATTTGAAATAGAACAAAGTTTCATGCCTCTAAAGAAGGACTTGCAAACCCTTGCTTTACATCTGAGAGGGGAGGGATACAGTTTCTCCATAATGAAGATAAATTGCCTTTTTCAGATCCTGTTTTTCTGTGTGTATCATAACCCAGACACACCCATACCACCCTCCTGTGCCCCCAGCAGGCAAAAAGAGTAGTCTGTGTTACCAATTTCAAAAGTGTGACAATATTTACAAAGCATTACAGTCTCCTCTTGCAAAAGAGGAGCCGGGTAGGAAGGGAAGGAGGTAAGAAGGAGGCAGGGTTCCCCATCCCAAGGCTTATAATATTTTTTTTAAATTTATTTGAATTTTTAAAAAATATTAGGTAGCCAGCAGTTAAAATCTCCTTATTTCCTAATTAATATTGACCAAAAAAAGACTAAAATTCAATTTAGCTTTCCTCTTCTAATATTCACTAGGATAACATTGAAATGTCTTAGATCTTAGATTAACATAGTATCTAGGTAAAAAATGGTCTTTAATATTTTAAACTCAGTAATTAGTAATTAGAATATTTCTTAGTTAGGACCACAGATCTTCTCCCTTAAAGTGTAAAAGTGACCCAGGGAATTATTTTATTCTTAGTCTCTCTGCAGGGAGAGAGGCAGCGAAAGCAGCAAGTAGGCACTGTCTGTTTCTAAAGTCACTAGGTTCAGGAGATAGTAGATTTCAACAGGTTCAATGTATTCAAAACCTACTCTGCTCCCTTCTACTGCCATATGTTGTTCATATCTTAGTACCCAGAACCTCATTACACCTGGACAGCTGGGGAAAATGTGTATGCTTTGGGCCATCACATCTGTTTGGAAGGGGAGGAAAGAAGGAGCAAAAAACCTCCTTTTTTTCAAAGCATAAATATAAAACGTATTTAAAGGCTAACTTCTTTGCAACACCTGTAAAGTGTCTGGAGTTGGCACAGTTAGCACTTTGGCTATCCTCTGTCACTACCTATTTTTGCACTGTACAGAACAGAGGTTGTCTGAGTTGGAGCATTTAAAAGGACACTTACAGTACTGTCAGAAGCTGAATGGGAGTCCACTGTTTTCCTTGATAATAGCCCAAGCTGTGGAGACAGGCCCAGGTTCCCAACCCCTTACCAGATCAGATAACAATCCTAAGTCCCATGAAGAGAGTACAGCCCAAGTAAATAAATACAGAAACATCTCCATCTTTCAGAGTTAGTCCTTTAAGCAACCCTAAAAAACTGTTAAGGGTCTGTCCCTTAACACATCCTAGGTGTTATTTGCCATAATAACCAAACACTTGACTCACTTGTTAAAAAATAATGACTCCTCCCTGCAGACTGAAGCTTCACAAAGTTTACTTTGACTAGCTTCAGATCATAACATAGGTAGGTGAAAAACTTAGACCAACTTTTTCTTTACGTTGCACCACACTATGGTAGTTTTCTATAAATATACTTTAAGTCTTCATCATCCTTGTCTAAATTTTACTCCCTTCCAAAATGTTCCTCCCAGCCCTGCCAACCCTCCACAAGGCAGAAATAATTACCATTTCCCAATCTGGTTCTGTTGCATTTGCTCCCAGGAACTCAAAATAACTGGCAAATCCTTCATTTAACCACAAGTCATCCCACCAGTCCATGGTTACAATATTTCCAAACCACTACAATTATAAAAATAAAGATGTAGGTTTAGATAAATAGTACATGTACATTTCAGTATCACACATCTGCATATAGAACATTGATTTGCTTACTTTTCTTCCTGCTGCCAGATGAAAATAATCATAATTCTGGGGTTTGAATAGGAATTAAGGCCTTGCCTTGTGTTAAAACATCACTTTTATTATAAAATTACATATTACTCGGCAGATTGCTAATGATTAATGTGCCACTGAAAATATTTTTAGTTTCTTCCTCTTGATTTGATGATTTCTGCTTTTAAGGATATGTTTTCAGACAGCCTCCACAGTTCTTGTTTGCCTGCCCAGAAGAGACATCTGCACGCGTAAATTAGTTTCTCTAAGACATTTTAGACACATTTTCATAAACAAGCTGACAGTCTGGGGCCAAGCATCTAACTTCCTGAGAAAAATTCCAAGGCAGTAGTCATGGTATTTTAAAGCTCTAACAGGGATCTGTTTAAACATGATATTTTGCAACCAGATTTTGAGCACATGTGGAAGATCCTGAGATGAAGTTAATGACAGTATTTTCAAGATTAAAATGTTGTGACTATATATTTGAAACACTGTAAAAGTAACTCATGTCCTAAAATGTACCTGATGAACGAGTTCATGGGCTATCACAGCAGCTACTCTCTGTTTGTTGGATGTGGCTGACTCCTCAGGATCATACAGCAGGTTTGTTTCTCGGTATGTGATCAGTCCCCAGTTCTCCATAGCACCTGTCCCAAAATCTGGAATAGCTATTTTATCTGTATTAAAAGAAAGACAATGATTACCACGGTATCCTTTAAATCAATTAGCTTTTCCTCTCTCTGTGTATTTACAGCCTGTTTTGCTTACCATTTATGATTCTGGCTTACTACTGTGGACTGCAGGCTATGATCTGTGCCCTGGATCTGCTGAGATTAACAGAGGCAGGATCAGTTGCACTTCCTGAGGATCTGTCCTGGGAGTGATGCTATGCAATCTCCCGGGAATGTGCATATCATACATTACTTAATTTTGGCTCCAGAAATAAATGCTATTGTCTGGGGATGTGCTGTAGGCAGTAAACCTCCTGAAACTATTTGTAGAATAATGAGGCATGACATTGTTTGTCACACTGTTGTATTAAAAATATTTATTGACATGTTAACTGAAGTAAATCCCCTCTGCAGCGAACAACATCTGCTTCTATGCCTGGCAATTTGTGGGGGGTCACTCATTTATAGTCAGTAATCAATACAAGTTTAAATGAGAATTGCAAAGTCAACTGAACTGGCATTTTCTTCTGAAAATGACCACAGAGTGGGTTAGCGAAAAAGTACAGATGGATTTAAAACTGAATAGAATGAAAACCCCTCACCCCACTCCAACAGAAGATAGGAATGACTTATTTTAAATTAAATAACCTGATTAAAGAATCAAAGCTGATAGTTTGGCAAGGGCTTCATCAACAGTCAAAAGGAGGATACAAGGAGAAATGTAATGACAGAAGCCATAAATCAATGTGAAATACAATATTTAAATAATCCATTATGCAGAAACACATCTAATTCATCAGGTTTGAACTGGGTAACTTCTAATAATGAGGGAACAACATGGCAAGTCAAGGTTAGTGATCCAACAAATAGACATTCTGGGAAAAAGAGGATAGAATCTACAAAAATATCTATCCTGTGACACTGCTAACCTGGAGATACCAGTCCATCCTATCACACAGACAGACCTTTATCCAGATGCTGCCATGGTAAAGTCAACAGGCTTTCATGACAGTGAAAGTTTGAATATAAAGCACAGGTGAGATATAGTACCTATTATTACTGGGGACCAATGTGGGAAAGAACAACATATTGTACTGGTTTCCCTAATTCAGTTGTCATTGAAATGCAAACATATTTACGGTAAACTCAAGTGTTGTTTTGAAAGGAGGAGGTAAAAGTCTTTTGTTAAAGTAATATAGGTTAGCATGATAGGTACAGGTACAAATAGCCAAAAAAAGGTTTGCACAGCATTATTAATTGTCTTCAAAGTTTTGGGGATTTCCCCCCTCCCCCCCTTTTTGTCTTGACTTGTTTGAACCTAGTATTTTTCCATCCTTTTAAGTTCATGAACTAACTAAATTACCTCTTTGAAGGTCTTAGGAGGGAGAATTTCCAAAACTCTGATTGCACTCCCAGCTTGATTATTATGCATGTTAAACTGTGTGAATCAGATGCAGAGTCCAAATATCCCAAACTAAAGGATGCCCACTACCTTCTCTTTGCTTGTTTTGTAACCATGGGCAAAATTTGAGAGCGTGCCTGCTCTTACTTAGTCCCAGATATTTATTTAGCACAGCAGTAGAAACTAAAAATTAGATGCTGGACCACATTCATCTTTCTGAGAAGTGGATATACACACATTTTGCACTAAGGTTAAGAAATAATATTACATACTCTCTGGCAGTTTACATCTTCACTTATCTCACTGCTGACTTTTGTCCAGAAGTTCATATGGAAGTAGTACATATTTTCCCTGAAACTTCTGGCTCTGTTTTAACTCATGATGGTCCTTTGCTGATGACACCAAAGCTTGCCTTGATTTTCCACAAGATGCTTTAAAATAAACATGCCAGGACCAGTTCTTCAGTTCAGCAAACTGAACTGTGAGAACTGGTAATAAAACAGTGACTGAGGCCAACTCATCCATCATGACATTTAGAAACATCTTGAACTACATTGGTAGAGTTTAAAAACATTCTGACATAATATCAGCGGTTAGCAACCAAATGCTTTCATGCTGTTTTCCACCAAAGCACAGAGACCTGTAGGAGCAGCATAACCAGTTTTTGCCAACACTAAATTAACAAAATGAAAAATATAAATGTTAATAGTTACCCAATTTTGGAAGAGAGTAGCTCAAATTAAAGTACTCTTCAAAGAAGTCAAATGCAATTTTTGTTACATTTGCTGCATATTCTGCCGTGTGTATTTGCTGCGGCTGGGCATAAACTCTCAGCTGTAAAATACAGAGAGACAATTAGAAAAGTTTTCAATTAAAAGGAATCAGGTGTCTAACATTGAAAAGGCATTTAGCATACATATCAATAACACTGCAGGTTTTCTTTGAGACTGGTCTGAACACTGAATTCTGTTCCCTATCACACTTACTAAACAAAGTTCTTCAAGTGTTGTACATAAGAGAGACCAAGCCAACATGTGCACACTTTCCACTATTTGTCTGAATTGTAAAACTTGCAAGACCCATGTCCAGAAGCTCACAATGGCCAAGCCTTAAACAGGGCCTGGTTACATACCAGCCTGTACTTCCCCATGGCCTGCTTTTCCCAAGAAGGAAACCTGGACAAGCACAGTCAAAGGGGATCCACTTGTTCTGAGCAGTTCACTGACCTTGACTGATCCCATCAGATCAATCTTCAGGAGCACATCTGTATTGAAGTGGTGTCAGAAGCCCATAGCACCTTATTTTATTCAACTTCTTTGTACCTTTCCTATGCACTATCATCATGATTTCCTCTTGTCCTTGTGTGTTTGAAGATCTCAAACCCACTGAAGACCATGCATTTACTAAATCTGTGACCCTTCCCAGATATGCTGTCCTACGCAGGTTGAGTTTGACCAGGACCTTGGGCCACACACCCACTCAGTCACAGCTTTGGTGCCTTCTGGGCTGCTGCGTCCCAGCAAGTCATAGGCAAAAATCAGTTCTCTCTTTTATGACCAGGCAAGTCTCAGAAAACTGGCATGTTCGGTAGCCCTGGCATGTTTGGTATAATGAGTGACCATTTCTGTTCTCCTCCTGTATATATGAATGCTAAAATTTATGTGTTGAATGTTGACCTTTCTATCCCTGAAGTCTGGTGCCTGGGACCGCTTTGGCTATGGCTGTCAAGCAGTAGGAAACAAGCTCTGGAGGACTAGAATCTTTATGGCACCTATGCCCATGATGAGGAGGCCTGTAACTTGAAAAAACCTTTTGAGAAGTTATCTTCACACTGTGAAGACAAAGTTTGAGTTCAGAATTTAAGGAGCCTTTTGGGGATCTTTCCCTCAATCTGTTTGTCCAAAAGCCTGTTGCAGATATATGTAGCCTGTTCTCTTCCCCGCCCCTGAAAATCTCCAGTGTGAATAAGAGATTTCTATATGGAGTGAAGTTTCTGGTTTTAGGAAAACAGATCTATCTCATTTTTCCAGCTCCATGACTCTTATGAATGGGACACATTCATCTGCTACACTGGTGTGGCTTGTTTACTCCTGTAGTGCTGCCTCACAGCCTGCAGTGGCCCAAGCTGAGCAAAGGAGCTGGTCTATTCCAGGAACTCTTTTGGAGCCTGAAAACACATGGATTTCAATACTATAAATTCTCCTTTTTCCAATGAAAGGGGAGGATGGAAAAGTGTTCAGAAATAAAGCTGGAACAAAAACAAAACAAAACAAAAACAAAACCAAAAAAAGCTTATGAAATTCAATCAGGAATACATTCCAGCCAGGGTATTTCCCCTAGGGTCAGTTTGCAATTACAATCTGCAATTTCCACTTCTGTAAGCTCTTTACCCAATTTAGCAGTCTTTAGTCCCTTAGCTGATCCATATTAATGGTTTCCAAAACCTTCGCCCTGCACTAGAACTGACTTTGGGTTTCATTTGTGTAATCTCCTCTGTGATTTTCCAAACCAGACATTTGGTACCTGACAGGTAATCAGCTCAGGAGCATTGTTTCCAGCTGTAGGCACATTTCCCACCACTCATTTCATTAATGTCTTTGTTAGGGCTTTCAGAGTGAATGGCAGAGTTTTAAAATAATTTACTATGTCATGTGAGTTGTATGCTCCTGCATATGTTTATGAAAGTAATTTATGGATCAAGTGGATACTTTTTTTTTTGAATGAGGAATTTATTGTTAGAAATTTACTTAGCAAACTATGGAATGTTCTTTTGAGTAGCTGGTGAGTCTTTGTTCAGCTGGTCTTTAAAGTTATTGGACAGGAAGCCTTGGAAAGGCTAGAAGAAGAACTTTTATATATATATGATTAAAAACTCTAAAGACAGTCTAGTTTCCCTGGGGAAACTAGGTAATTTTTAGTGATAGATCTTCCACATGTATTTTATATTGGTAAAACTATGTCTATGTTAAGAGAAAGTTATGATTTTCACCTCACTTAAACCCCAAGTTTTCTAGTGCAGGCAAGTCCTCAGACATTGTTTAGTGAACAGCATTAATAAAATATGTAGTAACATAGGCCTGAATTAGAAGATGTTTCTTCAGGCAACCTCTGTACTGACATGAATACCCCTGCTTCTACGCACACACACTTTAATTACCCTGTTTCAGTGAACCCTCCCTTCTATTTAGAAAAGTTACAACCAGTCCGGAACATTGTGGGCTGTACTGTTTTGTTTGGGGGAAAAAAAATAGTGACCTCAGGGCCATACTCCGGAGCGTGGCATGGACAAGTAGTTAATGTTTAACTTCTGTATGTGGAAAACAGTGTTATACACTTCTTCAGTACATTTTTTCCCTACTGCACTATATTCTGCACAAAAAGCTAGACAAATTCTGATTTTTAAAGGAACTGAATTCTAGAGTATATCTATTGAGACCAAATAGTCAAAGTCCTGTCCCTGATAATGAGTGGACCAGCTATGATGAAGAGCAGTTGGTTAACAAAATTCTGTGACCAGGTGACCTAAAAATGTTCTCCTGTGAATTCCTTAGCCAAACAGCAGAGAACTAAGGATATTACATCTGCATCTCAAACCAGTCTCCATTTGCTTGTCTAAGTGTAACTTAGCTTTAGTTATTTGTTAAGTAATATAAGCATACAGCATGATGCTAGCAAGGGCACAGAGGGAGGCCTCAACCCAGTCCTGTGACAGGAAGTATTTGCTAAGAGCTGCATCAGAACTTTGGAGATTTCTATGATACAGATTTTAACTTCAGCTAACAGATTTCAGTAGGGAAGGATTTGATGAGCTTTTTTGGGTAAGGAAACTAAGAAAGAGCTAACTTGCTAAGGGAACAGAAGAAATTGGTAGGTTTTTATTCTAGATTCCCTGTCCATTTGTGACATTGAAAACGAGGACACAGCTGCCAACTCATGTGAATGACAAGACCCTGTGTTATATAAGGGGAAAGGAAGGGGAAGAAGCAAGGGCATACAGCCTTGGGGATCACTCTCTGTTATCAGATGAGAAAAAGATCTAAATCAATAAACAAAGAACAGCAGTTTGAGTATCCCAAACTGGGTTAAGGCTAAATGAGGAGTTTCTGTTGAGGAGTGAGTTGTATTTCAGATTTCAGTTTGCAATTCAATGCAATGTCTTGTGATCGCTTTATGCTTGATCAGCTACACCTTCAGGTGAAGGTGCATCAAGATGAAGGAGCTATTTTAATTTAATAGATTCAGATTCAAACCTATTTGTTTCATCAGAGGATCCACCAAATATCCACCTGTTTAGGCAGACACTATCACTTCTATACTTATTTTTACAGAACTCACATTGGGCAGTTGCCTGTTATCACTTGTGGTAAAATAAAGCAAACCAGTACATAATGGCACATAGCACTGTAGTCCTGTCTCAACAGCTGTAATAGTATCAAGTGCAATTTTAACACACAGAAACCTATAAAGTATTTGTATTCATGTCCTGTGATACCCTTGTAACCCCTAACTTGTATGTTATGCCAGTCACTGGGCTTCAAGTCAGGGATGAGTTTGGAAAAAGTGTTCCTTCCTCACCTATGTGCTTATATGGGAGGCACTAACTGGGATCTCACAAAGATGGGAGACAGAAAAGGATTGCAAAACACTGTATGTAGTCAAGGTCAGAGGGACCACTGTGAACACATAGTCTGATAAAGTAGGCTGCATAAATTAAGCTACAGGAAAATAAAAAGTAGGTCCCTGTTTTTATAAAAAGAGATTTGTAAGAAAAAATGCAAATCAAGGCACATCTGTCAACTGAACCACATTCAGGTGCAGAAGGACTTACAGGTTTTCCACTTTTGGATTTTCTCTCTACCCAGGTAAACTGATGCACTGCAAAGCACACCAAGTAAGTGCTCATGGGAACTGATTTCTCAAAAGTTGTTCGATTCCAGCCATCACCGAGCTGTACGGTTTTCTGCAGAAATGCAAAAATAATCAAAGTAATTTTTGAAATTGCAAACACATGCATAAGAGTACAATATTTGTATGAAGACTGCAACTCCATAGGAGCAACAAATCACCTTACCAGGTCCACCTCTTCTGGCATTTCATTGCTGAAGGCATAAGAACAGACAAGGTATTTTTCTTCTGCAATACATGAAATGGTACTTGGCTTTTTTGGCACTAAAGAGGTTTACCTTGCTCTAATTTTCATCAGGGATTTGAAATTATTCACATGAACAGAAATTTTGCCAACAGGAGTTTTCTGGTGTACGCTGTGTTTTGCTCTTGCAATAGTTGCATAAAATAACATCACTTTATAGATAGAGAAGGGAAGAGACTGAATTCCCCCCTCTCTTAAGTACATGCATCATGTATTTAAGACATTATGCAGGGATAAAACCTGGGATATAGACCAGTCTAATGAATCTATCCTAAACTAATTCAAATACAAATGGATGGTGGGTTAGGTTATTAGGTGGGTTGCCTAAATATACATAAAATTTAGTGCTGATCATAATTTTTATTTTCCAAATCAATTAAAAAAAATCCTGATTTTTCCCAGATGCTTTTTTCTCTCAGTTTGTTGCCAATACTAAATAGGAAGGAGTAGATACCGATCTCTTCTTTCCCATGACCAGTGACAGAACGCAAGGAAATGGCATAAAGTTGAGTCAGGGGAGGTTTAGGTTTGATTTTAGGAAAAAGTTTTTCACCCAGAGAGTGAAAACTGGAACAGGGTCCCCAGGAAAGTTGTCACAACACCAAACCTGACAAAGTTCCAGAAGCATTTGGACAATGCTCTCAGGGACATGGTGTGACTCTTGGGGTGTCCTGCACAGGGCCAGGAGTTGGACTTGATGATCTTGATGGGTCCCTTAAAACTCAGCTTATTCTATGATTCTATTCTAAACATATAGTTCTTCTATACTTTTTCTGCTATAGTCTGAACATTTTTGTACTTAGACTGGATGACTAACTTAAATAGAACCAAAGCCAAAAGCATATAAAAGACATTAGCCTTCTAGAGATACAGTGGTTCATGAGATTTGTTTGTTATAAACACGATATAAATAAAGCACAGACAGTTAATGTTACAGGTATTATGATTCCATGAGAAAAAACACCTATTCACAGACATTCACAACCCCTTTTCAAAAAGGTATTCACAATCTAAATTTCCATTATTTTACCAATTTTGAGTATATTTTGATATCTTTGGTTATTTCAACAAAGTCAGGACTTAAGTGGAAAAAAATTTGAAGAAACTCTAGTGAAAAATATAAATGAAATGTATAAGATTCTGATTTTGCTGATCTGATTTTGCTATGGTGATTATAAAGCTCTACACCACCCAAATTACAGGACACGTAACATACAATGTGCCTTGCCTTTACAACTCTTACATTTCCATCTGTGGAAAAGATCTTTCCCAAAGTTCTTCCACTACTAAGACCAGAGCTACTGACCTTGACCAGATGAAGAAGTTCCCTGCTATAATCCCTTAGTCAAACCTCAATATGAATTCAGCATAATCTACATTTTCTTACTGGTATTTATTTTTTAACAAATCAATTAAGAAGCAGTAGTTAGCCCTTTGCAAGCTTATTATTGTAGGTCCATAACAGAGGCAAAGTGCATATGTCAAGGCGTAAAGTACAAAACACCATAAATCTTGATAACATATGGTGTTATCCCCTTTCTTGCTTGTATTCTCACTTATCTGAGGTCTGTGAGGAATGGTACAGCAATCTCCTTTCATGTGTTGTCCCCTGAAGTGCCTGGTGGTCTTCTACATATCATAGAAATATTTTTAATAACAATGGGTCAGAACTTTGAATGTGCAAAAGGTATGGAAACATCTGTATCAGCCTGGTAATAGATATCTCAGCTGCATTGCTAGGAGAATAAGTTTGAGGGACTCTAAATAAAAGCAGACCTTTGTTTTCTGGGTGGGGGAGTGATTGGAAAAATGCAAATGCCAACAGCCTGGAGGCTGGAAGCTCATTTTTCTTTCTTTTTTTTTTTTCTTTTTAAACTTGGCCCTTTATCTCCCACTTTAGAACTTATTAGTAGAAATTATACAATAGACTACACATTCAGTTGAACTATTCAGTAGAAACTCTCTAATCTGAAAACTATTCAGCCTTCTTCCAGAAGGCCCAGAGGTAGATAATTGATGCCACTGAATTTCATGCAAAATATGAAATTTGACAGTAGGTCTAGAAATTGATTATTTAGGAAATTATAGACATGGTGGAATGACAAATATCCACACCCATGAGTTGACAGATGCAGTTTCAGATCCTCCATTATTAAAAAGAATAATCCTAGTCTTTCTGGCTAGCAGGATTCTTTGCCATTATATGGTGATCAGCAGACCCTTGTTCTGGACCATTATGCAGTTTTAGTGATTATTTTAGACTTTCCATCTGGGAAGCAGCTGTCTTTCAGAGTATTTGCTCTCTGAGCCTACACAGTTTGAGTGAAGAACCTGCCAATATCTATTTATAGTCAGCAGGGGATGCTCACCTAGAATATCAGAACAGAGGGTTCTGATAACAGCAGAAGAGGCGTTTCATTTCTGCTTTGGATTTGACTCTGCTGCCATGTTGTGCGCTGGTGAACCACTTCAAGTCCTAACCAGCCAACCAGTTCTGTTCATGGAATGTTTATTAAGTGTGAGTTTTCCAGTGCCTGAGCATTAGAGTCTGTGACCATGACAGAACCTGGTGACCCACATTACATCTCAGTGGCTCTACAGAGCTGCTCCACTTAGGCAGCAGTTGGGAAATACAGACCTGTACTGGCATGTTTGAAAGCGCTTGGTACGTATCTTGATGGATGATGGATATGGTGTAAGTTGCCTTCTTGTTTGGCTCATCAAAGCAGGGAAATGATTTCCGCGCATCTGTTGGCTCATGATCAGTGGCTGCAATGCTCCTGAAACAAACAACACATTGGCAAGGCTTCATTATATGGTTTTGAAATCTTGTCCACAATTTCTAGGCTTTTCTTTTTTTTTTTTTTAACGATTTCACAAACTAAATTCAACTACAAATATTTGTGCATATTTATCCATTCATAAAAGCAAGTGACATCAGAAATGCATGAGCTGACATGGTCAATCTGTCATCAACATCTTCTAGGTTTCAGAGCAAAAGCTAATGCAAATTGCTTATCATCAAATATTTTTAGAAGACAGGCAATAAGAGAGGCATGACCTCTCATGCATAGTGAAAACTTTGCTCTCCCTCCAGCTGAGCTTTCCCATTGATTTATGCACCTAAAATAAAGAACTGATGATATCACCTAAAAGGAATAAGTCACTCCAAGACTTGTTTACTCACTACAGCATATCTTGGGATTAGGGTCTTGAACGTCTCCTGAAGCGACTCCTTAAAACTGCAAATGCCAATAAATCTCATCCTGCTTATGTGTTTCTTTTTCTGCATTTATCACATATACTTTTCTCCTGGTGCTCTTATGCTGCCCTGACTCCATTAATGAAACTGCTGGAGAAAGCATGGAAAGTTCAGGTGAACATCCTAGTACATAACCTGATGCTATGCAAGCTGTGTTGGGGGGGTCAGAAAGTCATCTCAGTTATGCACAACCAGCTGGAGGAGCAAGACGATAGGGGTCATGTAAAAACATAAGGTGAAGATTGTGAGTGTTCATATTGAGCTTGCTTCTCTCAGTAACATTGGGCTCCTACATTAATGACCCACACCAGTGGCAGAGCATATTCTCCAGTGATTGATGGTGAAAGGGATCACAGATGCTCCTTCAATTAATCTGGAATGTGGAGTATTTTCTGACAGCACTTCTACAGCTGCTCCAACTATATTAAGGTAGTTTTTCTTTCCAAAATGTAATTAGAAGTGTACATCATAAATTACAGATCTGCAGCAATCCTACAAGCTCCCCTGACAATCAATTTTTCAATGTTTCTGTTGCCCTTGGCATTTCCCTGTTAAATACTAAACTGGTCATTAGGAACTTGTAGCAGCAAGGGTCATTTACAAGCCTGACAGAGGTAATATGTCTGGGCTCTCTCCATTCATGTTCCTTGGAATAGTAGCTCAAAGGATCATGGGCAGAAAGCATAATGAACATTCACTTTAACATCATTTCAGACTCAATAGAGTTTCTTTTGCTTGGTGCATTCTTTGCTGTCACTCTCTATTTTTCATAGGATTTGAGAGCTATTTCACAATTAAGTAAACTCCAAGCCTCCAGGGCAATGCTTCACAGCTATTGGATAAAAACTTGGCCATATATTTTGACACATTTATGTCTTGTTCCTACAGACTGATAACATTGTGATACATCTGTTGATTTATAAGGTGATAATCCATCTATCCTCATATGTTTGCAGAGGCAGACAGACTTTATGAGTGAAAAACTTCAGCACCACCCTTCCTATAGGCTAGATGATGAGAACTCCAGACTATGGCATGCATAGGAGTGGCAACAGAAACATGAAATGTCATAATTCACTTTCAAATGACATAATGTAGTTTTTAGATAAGATTTTCTTCACTGCTTGGTGGCTTCTGCTCTTGATGTCCAGACCTTTAAATATGAACTAGAGCTGACAGTTGTAAACATCATAGTAATAAGAAGTGAAGATCTGGCTGAGACTGCACCCAGCTGTTCTCAAAATAAAACAGTGATGCATTTAGAACCATGATGAGTTTTCCTTTTTTTTCCCCTCCCCTGAAGTACAAGTCGTTCATGTCAAATGACTTCCTTCCTCCCTGAACTAATTAAAGTATTTTTCTCCTAGTCTTCCTTAAAATTCCAGCTTCTTCTGAGAAAACTTTCTCCTTCAGGAAGAAAATCAGAACTGTTACTTTTGTACACAGAAGAAAATTCTTCCCTTGTCTATTCAATAAAATTCTAAATATATCTCCATAAGACATGTGCCAGCCTCTTGTTCTCTTACGGACAACAGAAGGAATTCCTAAAAAAGGAAAGCCATACCTTGTCACTAATAGAAATGCAAAATCAAAGCCAGATGCTGTGACATGTTTGCATTATTTTTAATATTAAGGAAAAAATACAAGGGGGCTTTAGCACATTCCTTGAGAGAAACTAATGCCCTGAATAACCCAGTACACCACCCAAGGACTCCTTTTTGCTCCTCTCCATAAGATCTGAAAACAATACAAGTGTAATGTAGTTATGCTCACTGAATCATGCAAAGTAGGGAAGGATTGCTATTCCTTTTTCATCAATGGGGAAATGAAATGTGCAGGCAGAGGAACAGTTTTACCTAAGGATTTAAGTGCTTATGGCTAAATTTGGGAACCCACAGAAGCCTCTAGGTAGGCCTGTGTCCAAAATCTACATTTCCAGTTTCTGCTTTCCTGCTCCCTACCTGCATGTGCACATCAATTTAAATAGTCATGATTCCAAGGTATCTCACAATCTGCTTCAGGGCATGTCCAAAAGGACCTTTTTCCTGATGGGGATTGTGTGATCTGCCTGAACAGGATCCCCAAATGAGGTGCTCTTCTCCCTAAGCCTCTCAGGGATCCCAGACTTAGAGGTGTGCTCAGCACATCTCTACCTGTTTTCCACAAATTGTGCTGGGAGGTTTGAAATTTTCCAAGGGTGGTGTGTACCTCCGGCAAAGGCAAAATAAAAATGCTAATTCCAGTCAGCATTGTTTTTAAATAGAAATCTGGGGGAAAATGCATTTTTAATAAGTAATAAAACCCTTCCCTCACTGTCCTTCCTCACCCCATCCTATCTGCATAGCAACGACTTGGCTGTTGGTTGCTTTACTCTCAAAGCATTACTTACCTCTATCATGTACATCACCTCTGCCACCCTCACAAGCAATCTGTCCAAACTCAATCACATATTTCAGAATTTACCATTCACTCCTTCTGATTAAAACCCTTCTCAAGCCTAACACACTCAAACCCACAAGCTCCTTTCTGCACTGAGAGTTTTCAGACTGCTGGCTAGGATCATCCTTGCAATTGTAGTTTCCAGCATCCAATTCAAGAAGTAGGAACACTGAAAGTGAGCTCACTCTTTCTTCAGTTTTAGAGTTCTCCTTTCTTCCTGGTATCAGTTGCTTGGCCCTTGTCTACCTATACTGTCTGGATCTGAGGGACAGGCACTCACCTCTCCTGCTCTGCAACTCAGAAGACCTGTGTTCTGGTCCTGCTGTTCTGGGGTTGTGACAGACCTGGGGCTATAAATTTAACACCTAAATAGCCTTCACCAGTGAAAAGTAACACACCTCAACTTAGAAGGATGCTAGGAGGTTGTACTTTAAAAGTGCTGTGGAGATGTCAGATGCTCAAAGTATGAAACCAAAGCTGCTCAAAGTATAAAACCAAAGCACCTTTTAAGTCAGAGTAATGCTGAGGTCATAGATGGAGGAAAACATGATGAAAAGAGCTGCCTGGTGTTCAAGTTGTTCCCTGCATGACTTCTCCACAGGAAAAATCAATGCTTGCTTAATCCTCTACCTCTTGGATCTACTGCCTCTGCTGGTGCCTGTCACTGCTGCTACTCCTGTCAGTGGCTGAATGGAGCTGATGAGATTCTCACTCATGACACCATTGTCCCAGGAGGGCAAAGAAACACCATGAAAACACATCAGTGTTTGTCTCCATGTTCCTGCTACAGGGACTTGTAAAAGTCTAGCCAAGTTTATTTTCCAGCTGTAGAGGCTGGAATAAATCACTTCAGAAATGTAAATATCAGAAAATAAGTGAGTGTCTTCTCCACACAATAACTGTGAAGAGAAGCATTTGAGCAGTGGGGAATGTCTTTTTCAAGCTTCCACTGTGAAGCAGTACAAACCTGGTAAGTGGAATGGATTAGCTGAACTGGTAGAGGCTTCATAATATTTCAATAACTGTTGATATATTAATAAGGATGAGATGGAGCACAAAAAAAAAAAAAAAAAAAAAAAAAAGAAAGGAAAAAAAAAAAAAAAAAAAAAAAAAAAAAAAGAAAGGAGTAAAAGATGACACTAATTGTTTAGAGTTTCCTACATATAATTTAAACCAGCTGCAAGAGAGACAGGGAAGTTCTGGTTTGAATATTCCTCAGGCTTACAACATCAAGGAGGTATACTATCAGGAAAACTATCAGATGAACAATTTACACCAAAACTGTTACCTTGAGGATAAGAGGAGAGAGTGATGATAATTGTATGCTATTTATTGTTCTACAGAGGTACAAACAGGCCTTGATCCCTCCAGCTCCTTGAGGGAGCCACTCAGTTCAAAGGTAAGCTCAGACCAGTAGAGTTTGAAAAGATTTTTCAGAATAATAATAACAAACCCATCATCTCTTCAGCCTACATTCACTAGTCAGAAGCCAAAGGGCTTTGAATACAGCATCTTCCTTAGGGGAATGAGAAAACTAAAGAACAGCCCAGAAATGTCAATAAGTTGGTGAGAGACAAGACTGGAAAGCTGAAACAGGAATAGAGCAGGCCTGAGCAAGTGAAAATAGAGAAGAAAGCTTAATAAATAAAACTGCTTTACTTGATCTGTCCATTCTCAGTATAGGTGGTCCTATAAAACCCAACGAGCGAACCATTCAGCCAGCCTTGAAACTTCAGAGTGAGCACATAGGGATCACTTCCATCAGTGACAGGGAGCTCTGCTGCTGCTTTCAGCACAATGTATTCTTGTGGCTTGTACTCAAAGCAGTCATTCACAGCAATCTGCTGTCCTGAAGATTTCTGGAGCGTGGGTATTTCTGTAACCTTGGTGTCTCGCAGGTGAAGCCACAGGGAGCTAGTTGGTTTTTCCAAAGCAATAGATATACTGACTGTTCCACTGTAAGTGTCTTGCTCCATTTCAGGCTTGATTTCCAGATCATAGTGGATAGGTTTGACATAACTGGGCAGCCTAAAATCCCTCCAGTCTCCAGTGTCATCATTCTTGGGAGGACAGGGACCCAAATCCACTGTGGGAGGAGGCTGTTCCGTTGTTGTCGTCTGATCTGTTGTTGGTTGCTCTGTTGCCTCTGGAGCTTTAGGTCTGCTCAATCCCACACCGAGCCCCACAGCAAGTCCTACAACAACCACGACTCCACAGATGATAGCCACATGCTTTGTCTTCATGCAGTACCTCTTGGACTTCTCATCCTCAAAATCCATGCCCTCCATCTCTGCTCCTAGATCTGTTCTCAGAGCAAAACATTAACCACAAAAAAAGCTTATTAGTCACTTCAGCACTCAGCAGTCTTGGTTTGTGTTTTAATTGTGTAGCTATAGCTGTTCTCTGCCTGTCTCCCACATACCGCTTTCCACGAGACAATTAATTAAAGACAACATGAATTTGGAGGAGACATGAATGATCAAAGTGCAGCTGGGCCGGGAAACGGAGGGAACTGACACAGAAGAACATTGTTTCTGCCGTGTTCCCTTATAAGCAGTGCAACCCCACCCCCCAGCCCCTCCTGTTCTGGCCCGAGTTAAATATAAAACAGCGCTATGTTAATCAGCAGTCAGGAGATGATGAGATGCCAAAGCTCTGTCAGCAGCTTTCAGAAGGAGTTTGCAGATGGAGGTGTAACTGCTCCAAAACCTCAACCTTCACCACGACCTCTTCCTTTTTTTCCTCTGCTGTGTCTTGTTTAGGTTTTTGAGGTTTGGGCTGCTTTTTTTTCCTTCCGCTTACTAACAAAGATTTCCTTGAATTTCCACCCTATAGTTTGTGAAATGACATCTCAAAACTTGCAAAAATCACATATATCTTTCAGCTGTTTCCCCTCTTTTCTGGGCTCATTTACCTTTGCCGAGTAACTTAAGGCAGTCACAGACAGATGAATGCACAGTGGAACAATAAATTTTGATCACTGCTTCAAACTTTAAAAGTTGTCTAATTCCTCTCCCCCTCACAGGGCCAGTTTTCCAGGAGATTGACCATAACCATGCATGCAAGCGGGTAGCCTGAGACAGCATTGCTTTGTCAGTCAGCACAATTATAGTGCTGCTTGTGAACCCTTGCTGTGAGGGACACTTCTAAGTATGATTTATGCACTAAATATCTAATTTACCATTTATTGCTTGTCATCACAATGTGGCACTTCATTGAAGCAAATTAATTGAATAAAGCCTGATTTCTGCTTGAGGGAACTTATTGTAAGTAAGGCCTTGCTAAGCCTGCAAGCAAGATGTTGCTAGTGCAGTATGAAACTGAGCACAGTGGTAGTCTTGACCTTCTTTGAAACTGGACAAAAGGAAAATAGTGTAGAATAAAATGTCAGTCCCTGCATCTCTTAACCCTATTTCTCCACTTATGTAGTCCACTTGAGAAGACTTTTTCCCTTTTTTTTTTTTTTTTTCAGATGGATGAAGTTTCACCTGAATGGATTGACTTAGGTTTTAGAATCAGTTGACACATGCTTCAAGTGAGATGTACTAAATTGGGGAATTTCTCCCAGTATGTTTAGAAATTGATCTGTTCATAAGCCACACCCACACTTCTAAATACTATCAGTCACCCCAGGGAACTTTAGCCACCCACTTTGCATCAGCACACTGCTATTTATCTATCATTTTGTTTTAATGCCAAGGGTTTCCTACAGGAACAGAAATAAAATTGTTTGAGGTTTGTTGTTTGTTGTTGTTGTTGTTGTTGTTTTTGCAGATTATCACATTAACCCTTACTCATTTTCAAAAGTGAGAGACTGATGCAAAAAAAAAAAGTGAAGCAGAAAGCTAAAATGTGTTTCACATTATGCCTGTTTTTATTGTTTCCCATTTCTTTGCTGTGATCAAAACTAGATATGACATGGGAAACCAATGCCCTTTAATGGATTGAGTAAGAATTCAACATTTAGCAACAGGGCCAGCACTGAAAATCATAGTCTTAACATTTAAAACCATTTCATCTTTTCTTTTGTTCTGATTGGGCAGGACAAAGAAAAAGACTTACAACAGATTTTAAAGAAGACATCTTTAGCCAGAGCAGGCCATATCTGATAAGAAAACAAATTGTCTTAATTTCAGACATGGCTTTTACATCACTCCCATTTTTATTTTCCTAAGCCACAAGCTTTTCTGTTACATTTTTAACCTGAAGATGAAAAATGCCATTTGAACTTACAGACTGCAGAGCAAGTTATTTACTGTAGTTCTGAAGACACTTGAAGATTTCTTCACCGGTAACAATTGCCTCTTTCAGGAAGAGCGAGAAAACAAAGGTGGATGAGCTAGTCCTAAGCAGCAAATATATATGTATTTCTTATCCTAAGCCTTGAAGACAATACTATTAGTAAAGTCCACTATATGCTGTCAGTCAAGAGCAGTAGGGTAGTTATATACAAGTTGTAGCACTGATCTTCTTGTTGTAATAACTGAGATTCCAACCTAGCTGCAGCCAAAACTGGATATATTTCTGGTATGTGTGGCTGTGAGCAGGTTTACTCCTCCCACATCCAAAACGTGCTTTGTTACTGACACTCCTGCAGCCAGCCAGCAGCTCCCTGCTGCCAGTGACCCAATGTCCATGTCCAAGGATAAACAGGGACCAAAGCATTAATTCCTCTCCACAGGAGCAATGCAGGAGGGCAGAGCTCCCAAAAGCAGAGCCTGCATTCCCCCTGTTTGGCTATTTCCAAGCAGAAGTGGGCAGGGAGCAGGATCTGCCCCCAACAGAGGAGAACACAGTGGCCTTCACTAACAAAGTATAGATACTCTGTTTGCCCTCTCCCCACTCACATGAGATGGTGGTTCTGAAAAGTCAAAGAAAGCTTCCCCCAAATTGCTCCAACACAAACTACAAGCAGGACTGCAGGCAAGTGTTGGCCAGGCTTGGATTGCTTTGATTGCTTTACTTTAACTTCTGGAAATGGGATTTAAGCAGTCTTTAAAGTAGTCACCTGGGCAATGCTCACACCTGTTATAATTTGTTTGGTGTTGATTTTTTTATCCAATCAATTTCACTTTAAGCTAGGATTTAGTTCCCAGTTTGCACCCGAATTACCACAACTAGCTTAAAATGCACCCTGCTCTGCCCTGACGTTGCTTATGTGAACATGTAGATGCTTGTAGGAACAATACCCAGATAACTTTTCAGAGAACCCCCAGGAATGTAATGAATGCTAATTTTTATCCACAAATTGTCAGCCATTCATTTCCAATGCAATTTCCAATTTAAGTATGGAAAGTGGAATAAAATTTCTGCAAGTGACAGCCAGAATCAACACTAGGAAAGGCCTGCTCCTGGCCTGCAGGGAGATGTCAGATACCCCAAGGATATCCTTAATTGAAGCTGACAATGAGAAAAGAGCTGCTCTGGAAAGTATTGAGGACATGAAAATGAAATATATTAAAAAAAAAAAATAAAAAGGCAAAACTCCACTGCAACTTGCAACAAATGAAACTCCTCTGAGCCAAGTCATCCTTGGAATAACATGAAAGACTTTCTGGGCCAATGCCAAGGAGCTCTTTGTCTCCCTGCGTCCAGGGACTTAAAGGCATCATGAGGGCAGCAGAGTCTAAGGACCTCTGATTCCCTTCTGCTCTCTGAGGTGCCCTTACTGAAAGGTTTTGGAATAATAAATGGATCCTTTCTGCCTCCAGCAGGAGGAATTTGTCTCTCTTTATGCTAAAATAACACTCCTTCAATTTTTCATTGCAAAATCAGAAGACATGAAGCAATCTGCTGTCTGACTGCTTTCTGGCACAGCTGCACTTGTAGATTTCTCCCCTGTGGCCCCCGACCAAAAAAAAACTTTAGGACATTAATTTGAGAAATATGAAACTGGCTAGAGTGTTGTTCCACCAGGTCAGAAACAAATATTGTCAGAAATTATTCCCTTGTCCAGTGTTTACCTGTATCTGTAATGACTGATTTAGTCTCTATCTTTTGGCTTTGAATCCTCTAGCAATCATTAAGCCCCTGGAGTTCACAAGTCTTAGTAATTACTGGCTTGCAGTGATACTTGTTCCACTCACAATTTTTTCTATGACAGTTTTTAACTCCAAAACAAGTTCTTTTGGTTTTCTGTTGTTTCAAACTACAAATGTTTGGAATTGACTTGAGAAAGTCAGGATTTATTTAGCCATAATTGTTTTCCCGTTCAGATCTTTAAAATCTGTCTCAGTTTGTGGGATACCATTGGACACAGTACCTTGGGAGCCCTGCATTATTTCCTGCTGCAGACTGGTAAGTTCTGTCTGTAACACACCAGCTCAAGTGCAGTGCAGCCCCACAACTTATTCAGGGTTCTGCTGTATTTCCCCAGCAGGTCAGTGCTAGAAGTATTTATCACTAGGGTTGAGGCTGAGGGGAGTTAACTCAAAGCCTGTTCTCATTGAAGTACTGTGAGTTACTGTTAGCAGAGGCTCTGTTTCCTTCCTCTCTTCTTTTCATGTTTCAAGTTCCTGGATGCAAATTCTGTGCCTTGAAATGGGAATGCTTTCTCTTTACTATTTGCATAAATAAAGCAAGTCAAACTCCATTAATTTGGTTTGCTCTATCATATGTTCATGATAATAAGATAGTATATCATGCATCTTACTGAATGAACACTACCATTAAATCATAGGATGGCTTGGGTTAGAAGGGACCTTAAGGATTATTCCCAACCCTCCTGCCATGGCCAGGGACATTTTACACTACATCAGGTTGCTCAAAGCCCCATCCAACCTGGCCTTGAACACTCCCTAGGACAGGGCATGTCTCAGCAACATCACAGTGAAGAGTTTCTAATATCTAATCTCAGCATACCCTGCCAGTTCAAAGCCATTACCTCTTATCCTACCCTACATGCCCTTCTAAGAAGTTCTTATGCAACTTAATGATGATGATATGGTTTGATGTGTTATCTTATCATATTCTATTATACAACTTCATCTTCCACTGCACTGATACTAGGATGAGATTCCTTGTGTTCTTCCATTCATTAACCTTTAATACAAAACCAGAATAGTCTGGGTGCGGTGAATACAGTTCCAACTTTCCAATTCTACCATGTTTTATGATTTTTATAATTTTGTATCCTTTTCCTTGTCAACATTGGCCATTAAAATAGTTACAGTTTATGGCTGTGCACTCTTCACCTTCCAATGTCTATAAAAACATGCCTGAGAATTCTACTGTGTCAACAAAATATGGTTTAAATCATACAGACAAATTTTCCAAATCACTCAACACGTCTCTTGTTTAACAAATTCCTTAAAAAAAGTGAGAAACAACCTATTATGGTGTAACTTCCAGGATACATTGGCATACCAGCACATCCACTGGAAAATGAAATACTGCATTTTAGAAATTCTGTGTGAAATTCCTTGATGAACTTTTGGAGGCGTTTTATCCTCTAGAATGAAAAACCTGCTTTCCACTCTCTTGACTTTGTTTTGTGAGTGAGGGTGAT